CTAAAAAACTGGAAATCAGAGTATGTCTCTGTCCAGTGGCTTCCCATTGCTTTTATTTTTTTAATGTATTTATTTTGGTTGCACTGGGTCTTTGGTGCTGCATGCAGCTTCTCATTGTCGCTCACGTCTCTTGTTGCGGGGCAGGGGCTCCAGGCGTATGGGCTCAGCAGCTGTGGCTCCCGGACTCCAGAGCGCAAGCTCAGTAGTTGTGGCACATGGGCTTAGTTGCTCTGATGCATGTGGCTTCCTGAACCAGGGGTCGAACCCATGTCTCCTGCATCAGCAGGCAGATTCCCATCTACTGTGCCACCAGAGAAGGCCCCCCACTGCATTCAGAATAAAAGACAACTTCTCATAGCCCTTAAAAGTGAAGTGAAAGTGTTAGTCGCTCAGTCATTTTTGACTCTTTGCGACCCCATGGCCTGGATCCCACCGGGCTCCTCTGTTCATGGAATTCTCCAGACAAGAATACTGGAGTGGATTACCATGCCCTTCTCCAGGGAATCTTCCTGTCCCAGGGATTGAACCCAGGTCTCCTGCATTGCAGCCAGATTCTTTACCATTTGAGAAAACCCGGGAAGCCCTACAAAACTGGCCCTCACCTCTCACACCAACTTCATCCTATCCAGAGTACCTAAGGCTCACCAAGCACCAGCCCAGGCTGCTCTCTGTTCCTTGAACCAGCAAGCTCATTCTCATCTCAGTCTATGCACTCACTATTTGTTCACGCTGCCAATAATTTTCTTTCCCCAGAGCTACACACATCTGGTTCTTGGTTATTACTTGAGTCTCTGTTCTATTATTAATCAGTTCTTCAGAACAGCCTTCCCTGACCATGTAATCCAGAGAACCTTCCCCCATCTGCAAACATCATTCTTTATCACATTACCTTATTTCACTGTCTTCACAGCCCTTTTCACTATCTGAAATTATTGTGTTTGTCATCCTGCTTTTTAACTGTCTCCCTCTAAGAGAAGGTAAGTTACAAAGCACAGCCCTCGCCTGTCTAGTTCCCTGCAGGCAGAATTCACAACACATGGGATGCAGTCTATGCAGGACACAAAAGGGGATAAGAGAACATTCATAACAGCTAAAGTAATGCACTCTGGATCTTTCCATTATTCTGACAGCTTATCACAATTCTAAGAGTTGGATCTGCAACATCAAGTGATTAAAAGCTTCTTTCAGTATGTAAAATTTAGAACAAGTTCAGAAGGCTAAATTACTTTGCTACTCATTACTGACAATACCATGGACGATTGGTCAATATATTAAGTTGCTGCCAGTGGCTCAGCAGTACAGAATCCACCTGAAATGCAGAAGACACGGCAGAAAATGCAGGTTAGGTCCCTGGGTCAGGAAGATCCCTTGGAGAAGGAAATGGTAACCCACTCCAGTATTCTTGCCTGGAAAATCCCATGGACAGAGAAGACTGACATGCTACAGTTCATGGGGTCGCAAAGAGTTGGACACGACAGCAACTAAAACAACAAGAGCAAATCATAAATTATACTGATAGAAAGTTTCATATATTCATAACAATGAGTTATATAATGGTTCTTAAAAAAAAAAAAACTGTGTGACTCAATAAGTTAGTCATCAAGACACCTGTATTAAACCATTAGGGCTTAAACCTACACAATGTTATACATCAATAATATCTCGATAAAGCAGGGAAAAATCATTGGGGCTCTACCTAAACAGTATAGTTCTCTTCTCCTCCTAAGAACCTGATGGGTTTGCACTGCTTTCCCCTCTTGAGTTTTAAATTAGATGTAGTCATAGGAGTAACTTTGGTCAATTAAGTAAAAGACGTGTACTGACACAAAGCCTCTGTCATCTTTGGTTCTTAAGCAACTATTAATACAACAGTAGATCCACACTGGATGTTAGCAAGAACAAGAAATCAACAGTTGCTGTGTAAGATGCTGAGATTTTGGAGCTGCCCGTCTGCAAGCACAGCGTAACATAGCGCATCCTGACTAGTACAGCAGTATAGCATGGGAATCAAGAACCTGGGCCGTGGAATCTGACCAGCCTGGGCGGGACTCAGAGCTCTGTCACTTATTGCTGGAGAGATCATGGGCCTCTGGCCTTAATGTCTTCATCCATAAAACACTTAAAATACCTACTCTTTATAGAGAGTTGGACAAGAGTTGGACACAACTTAGTGACTAAACCATCACACTCTTCATACAGTGGCTGCAAAGACTGAGTTGAGAGAATATATAACTATGTTGATTAAGTACTCACTAGATAGCAAGTGGCATTAAACTTCAGCACATCTACTTTAAGCCACTACGAGCATATTTATATTATGGAACTTCGGTGGCCCTGGATGTTCTATAAAGCATTCTAAACTCTGGGACAGCCATTTATAAAGTTTTGGATTCTCCTAGAAAAATCTAGGAAAAGATAAGAATTGTGGAACATCTCAAAGTTAACAGGGATGGGTGTGGAAGGATAGTGAAGCAAGCAAAGAAAATCTATGATTTGAAAGTAGAAAGAAAAGAAAATGGAGAGTGAGGGGAGAAGGTACAGTGGCTGGAAAGACTGGGTTCTAAATTAGGAAGATAAGAGACAGTAAGAAAGGGTTAAGTGCTGAGAACAGACAGAAAGAGAAAAAAAGCAAAGAGCATGTGGGCCGAGAGCTTTGTGGAGCCCAGGGTTGAGGGTGGAGATACAGCCTGGCCTGCTACACCTGCAACGCCTTGGAACACTGATTGGTAAGACAGCAGTTCAAAACGCTGCTTCCACAGTCAGTGCTTAAAATGCCAGGAGGCTCTGGACTCTGTGGTTTCTTCTAAAGGACTCACTTGTAAACAATATGGTATGCTGACTCCCAGGATCCTGCAGTCCCTAAAACTCAGCTGTCAGGCATGTATAAATGACAGACTCCATGATATTGTCTTAGAAACTTAGATACCAACTGTACGATTCACCAAAGCAATGTTGATCAGGCCCTAGAGAGAAATATCTAACCCTAAAGTCATCATCAAGACTTTCATTAAAAATTAACCCTGTTCAAGTTAAAACTTGCTTAATATCTAAATTTTTGTGTAGTTATTTTGAGGCTTTTCAGGCACTTACTGCTCAATTTCACTGGCTGAAAATAAAAATAAACACAAGAGGGAAAAACAGCAAATGTCCTGGAACAATTCATAATTTTTAAAAATCATGGAGATGGGACAGTTGTTGAAAAATACTCACAGATTGTATGTCATGATATAATAACCAGGTCTCAGTATCATGAGACTAATACTCTTCAAAGAATAAAAATATAACTAAAGATGCTGAAAATTTTACTATAAAAAGTGGACATTTTTATAATCCAAATAAAAGTTTCATCACCACCTGACCACTAAAGTCACACCCAAATCAGAAATGCGCTAGCCATTAGAAACATAAGAGGACCCCTTTCCACTGATATTTGGCATTAAAGAGAGTCCTCTGCAAGAAACTGTAAAAGAGCCAAAAAAAGAACTGGTTATTGCTCCAACTCTTTGAATGGAATGTGGACTTTCCTTCAATGCAAATTCTTCTGATATAACTGCAATATTAAAGCAAAAGTGTGAGGTGTCAAACAGGTCTAAATATACTTGAAATAAAATATTACTAGCTTAGTATGGTTAGCCACCTGACATAAATGACGCTAAAGAGTGATGCAACCTAAGTGATGTCAATATTTAGATTCCGCTTTGGAAGCTTTTGTCATCATTTCAGTCCAAAAGCAAGACTCCTCTAACAACAGCTCTGAGACAGTAGAAAAGCAAGTTCCATGGGGAGACAAGGTCAGCATTAAGACTCAATCTTAAAAGAGGAAAATAAATGAACTTTATGACATGTATGTGCACAGAACTTTGATGGACAGTGACTATGAAAAAACTCCACTCTGTTCTCTTTTTCCCTCCCCCATCTCACCATTTCAAAAATAATTTGCCTTCAAAAGCACGTCAGTAAATCTGCAAGCTTTAAGAATAACAGAAACCGTGTGTTCCATGTGTTCGCCAGATTCATTTTTTATAATGTATGGTCCTCTGCATTAAAATCAACACATTTTTGATAAAGAAAGTAATGAAAAGAAATCAAAAGAATCCATTCCAAAAATTTCACATCTCTCAATCACAACAGAGGATTGAATGTATTAAACCTGGTCACCTAATGAAATTGGACTTGTTATCTCCAGCTAGAAGCACCTGTAAAGGATAAAAAAGGTGTCTGAAAGTTTCAGTTGATAAAGAGTACAAAATGTTTTCAAGCCTGAGAGTTTTAAGCTAAGCATCAAAAATTACAGACTTCACATTATTAAGTTCTTTCCTTCATATTAAAAAAAAAGTTTTATAAAGATTTCAAGAGAGAATGCTTCTAATATCCATGCATTCCTGTAACTGCAAGTGAAAAGATATTAAGACTAGAAAACCAGACTCCTACTTTAGAATATATAAAATCTACATAACTGCTTCTACTTATCAGAACACCCTTGAGGCTACAGAATTATTTAATCTCCAGGTAAACCCACAACCTCCTGTAAGGAGAAACACATCTTATGTTTCAATATCCATCCTCTTGTTTTTATTCTAAATTGGTTTTTCAAGGACAGAAGGCTTAAAGTTTCCCATTCAGTTTTGGTCTCTAAAAATAACTTTCAATTTTCTCCTTGCAACTAACAAGTTATTACAAAATAAAAAGCACTAAAAATGGAAGCTTAATAAGCTTCAAAACAAAAACAAAATAACACCAGGGAAAGCAAAAAAGCAAAAAAGTAAGTCTGAACTAAGGTCCCTAAGAATTCCACAGAAACGCCAACTCACGGCAAGACAATGCACACTCCATTCCATGAACAAACACACACTATGAAAATGATGAACTAATGAATGGTATTAAGCAACAGAAAGGAAAATCTAGGAGGAATGAAGGTGTGTGTTACTGTCTTTTAAAAATCAAGAACTGGTCTAACATCTAGATAATGTATTTGTATAAATTCTTATTTTTAAACTCACCTGATTCATTTTCAATTCCTGTTGTGTTCTGAAAAGATACACACAACAAAGAAACTTCTTTGATTACATGAGCCCTAAAAAGAAAAACAGACAATTGTGATATGTACCTGCCTACAAATTTACAGTGATTTAAAACCACATACAGAACTGTAGAGTCTGCTCAAAGAACTATTCACAAAGCAACTCCATGCTAGATCAACTTCAATCTAGGCTAAGAACTTACTTTGCAGATTTATTATCTACAATAAAATAGATGTCTTACTATCCTTTACTGGGGCTTCATTGTACTCTACAATTGAAAGCAGACTCATTAGAATGACATCAAATTTTTGCTTTGGAACTGAAGCATGCCTAAGAAGAAATAAATGAGCTTTGTTAGTAGAAACACAAAGCAGTGCTGAGTAATTTATTAAGCAATGTAAAGGTTCTTCTTTGACTTATATCAATACTGTGTTGAATACAAACACAATTAGACCCCTATACATTATTTTTTCAAGTTCTTGAAGTAGAAAGGGTGAGTTTACTAACATTTCCATGGAGATTTCTCTTTGAGAAAAAGAATGGAAACCTTGTAGTAAAATGCAAGTATTTTAATAAAAGCTGTTTGGAAAGAACTACAATTACTCCTTTAAAATTTTTCAATTTATTCATAGTATAAGGACGGGAAGACAGAATTATTTCTTGCAAATGCAAATGACATACTTGTTTCTAAAGAACAATCTCTGAAGACAGTCCTTTCTGCAACGTTATCTCAGGAGTCATTCATAATATATGGAAATCATGAAAGCAGCACTGCCACTGTAATATTCTTGTTTTCATCATGCATACATACACATCATTAAGTAGAATTCTATTTCTTCACGGATTTACCTACATTCATGTTTCTTTCCAAGATTCACATTGTAACTTCACATTCTAACTGCTAATACCCCAAGGAAATTATAACTTAGGGACATTCTTCATCCTAAAACATACAGCCTGCCCCCTATCATTAAGAACAGTGCTTTGACATTTCTCCCCATTTCATTAATAAGGATTATTTCAGGTTTTTCTCCTTGAGTTCTTTAGCCACACTCACCTGAACACCTTTAACAATCAAAGGCACTATATTTAAGTTAAGGCCTAGTCACCTGAACTAGTTTTTATTCATAACTGGCACAGGTAATGTATTTGACAACTTGCAGTTTGTTAGAAAGTTCAGTGCTAGCCTAATCAATATATACTCTGCAGAAGTAAATATGCAGTGAATATGATTTCAGAAAATTGGTAATTAACCCAGGAAGTTCATTCCTTTAACTTTTTAATATTCTGCATCTTTCTCACATACATTTAACATGTCCTTCCTTGATATACATATTCTTCACTGAAATTAATCCTTTTCTAATAAGGCTACACAGTTCCACCAGGAGGGCCCTGGTGACACCTGAGGCACCCAGGAGTGAAAGAAATGGCAGGGATTTCACCTACCCTCTCACTAATTTACTAACACTGGTCATGAAGAACTAGCTTTGGGAGAGAACAAAAAAACCCCTGTAGTAAAATACAAATGTTTTAATGAGAAAGATCTTTGGAAAGATGTTTTTACCATTTCCTTTTATCTGTCTTTTCCTTCTCGCAAGAATCATTGATTATCATTATGAAGCTTCTTCTAAGACAAGCAGGCTCTGGGCTACCGTCACATAAACCAGCTCAGTTAATTTTCACAAGGTTAGTTTCTCAACTAATGACAGAGATTCAAGGAAGCTAAAATTACTCGCTAACTTTGGTTTCTGCTATGGCTTCTGAACCATATTTCACCAGATTTTTATTCCTGCCTCACCTTGCACCTACTACATGCCAAGCTCTGCTTCTGAGCAGTGAGCAGACAGATCCCTGCCCTCTAACAAATAAGCAAGCAAAATGTGTAGTGTGTCAGATAATCAAAGTGCTTTAGAGAAAAACAGGCACCTGGAGAGGGAGACAGGGATTATAATCTCTGTCTCAACACTGGCCAGTGAATCCATCGCATGGTCGGAGAAGGCCTCACTGAGGAGGCAGAAGGTGAGGAGGTGAGGGTCAACAAGGGATGGAGGAGAAGCATCATGAGGATAAGACTGTACACAGCAGACGAGAGGCCAAGTGCAGGCCAAACACAGGGTGGGGTGGGGAACAGGAGAGACAGACTTAAGCATAGGCTTTGCAAGGTAAGCACTGTTCACCAGAATGGCTACAGCTTTTTCATCCAAGGATGGAAAGCCACTGGGAGGCTTAAGGTGGCAGAAGCAACCTAGCGTGACGTAGATTTAAAAGGAGACTGTAAGGGAATAGGGTGGAAGCAAGCAGACCTCTTAGGAGGCTAATGTCCCCATCTAGGCAAGAGATGATGGGGCCTTGGCCCAGGTAGCAGAGATGTGAGAAGTCAGTAGATCCTGATGTATTTTTAAAATAGAGTCCCCAGGATCTGCACCAGATTTGATGCTACGTATGAAAAAAGAAGAGGAAGTCAAAGATGACACCAGGGTTTTCATCTTAAGGACATGGAAGGATAGAGCAGCCATTTTCTGAGAAGCTACCTCCTTCTTTCCATCTGCTTTTCACTTATTTTCCCTCTTTATTTAATACATTTTCCCTCCCTTTTCCTCCCCTTTCATAGTTGCTAGCTCACAGGCACAAACCAAACAACTCAGATACTGTGACATCTAAAAATGAATAGCTAAAATATTAAAGTACTTAAAACATCTTACTCTTTCATTTATTTCAATGAATCTCAACTTTTTAATAAAAAACTTGTAATTCAGATTGTTACATGAGTTAATAATAATCTGACTTTCTACACTGTCTGTTCCCTCTCTGTCCAAATTAGACGGCATTCATCCTTTCTTCCGGAGAAGGCAATGGCAACCCACACTCCAGTGCTCTTGCCTGGAAATTCCCATGGATGGAGGAGCCTGGTGGGCTGCAGTCCATGCGGTTGCTAAGAGTTGGACCCGACTGAGCGGCTTCACTTTCACTTTTCACTTTCATGCACTGGAGGAGGAAATGGCAGCCCATTCCAGCGTCCTTGCCTGGAGAATCCCAGGGACAGAGGAGCCTGGTGGGCTGCCGTCTCTAGGGTCGCACAGAGTCAGACACAACTGAAGCGACTTAAGAGCAGCAGCAGCATCCTTTCTTCAGGCTTCCCTGGTGCTCAGTGGTAAAGAACCAGCCTGCCAACGCAGGAGATGAGGGTTCGCTCCCTGGGTCGGGAAGATCCCCTGGAGAAGGAAATGGCAACCCACTCCAATATTCTTGCCTGGGAAATCCCATGAACAGAGGGGCCTGGCGGGCTACAGTTCATGGGGTCACAAAGAATCAGACACAACTTAGTGACTAAATAGCAGCAACAGTATCATTTCTTTCCAGAAACTAGAAGGACCTTAACATCTTTAAGGGTTCACTATTTATTCTTGATGCTGTATGCTTGGACCCTCCTCTCCATCACTTCTAATCCTAATTGCTAAAACCAAGACCCTCTTTTTTTTTTCTTTCTCTTTCCTGACTCACAACATTATCAGATTATATATCTAAAATATATTACAATAATCAAAAACATTGCAAATCTAACACAGACTTCTCAAATGATATTTTAAATTAGGATATTAAACTACACTAGAAACAGGAGATGTTACAAGAAAAGAACTAAGATTTTGGCAGTGCCTCTCAACACAGGACCATTGCATTTTGAGCTAAGTACTCACTCCAGTGTGGGACTATTCCTTTCATTAAGGCCACTTAGCTCTGCACTGCGAAATTAATGCCAGCAGCTCCCTCTGAGCATCTTGACAGCCAAAGCTACCCACACACACATCCCCAGATCCTCTTCTGGTGGAGAAACTCTGAACTGTAGTAATCATGTACTGGTTGCACCATGATAATACATTTTAAAGTAACTATAGATTTGAAATTCTGTTATTCGAGTAACTTCCCTAAGATTCCTCCAGGATTGCAAAACCCCTGTGGAAGTGCATGGCAGTTCTACATAACTTTTACATTCAGTGTTGACTTTAACAGCACTGATTTATATACTCAGCTTTCTAACACAGTTATCTCAGGGTCTGTGTTTTATCAAACATGGTAACTTGAAGTATCAATCATATCAGTGTAGCGGCCAAGAGGAATCTTTCCACACCTACCACTGAAACTGAGGAATTCTATCAAACTTTAAATAAAATGCTTAATAATTAAGTGCCTCCAATTTTCCAGTAGTAAATAATGAAAAACTTAAAATCCTGGACTTTTCTGACCATAGATTCTTAGTTTCTTGTTTGGATTTCTATGCCTGACCAAACCTTCTTTAAAATGTCTACATTTCCTTCCATTCCACCTGCTGATGTTTTTCAGATAAACTACATTAGACAGATTCACAAATTTAAAGCATGTGAATTTCTATCCCCAAATATACTTCACTAACAGCACATACTCTTAGAAAACTAAAAGTTTGACCTTGATTTTACTGATCCAAGGTTTTAATAACATACATATACTTAACATTTCAAGATACTGCTTCCAAATTCTAGGACAAATCATCTGTACAAATATTTAATTTAGTAATATCATAAAGATGATTTAACTATACATGATCAGTATGAATACAGCAACAATAAAATAACTAGGAGGGTCTTTATTCAAATACTGGTCCCTTAGAAGATCAAGACAATCTGAACAACTATTACCCTGCTGTCATCTGACTTGGCAGCCAGAGACCAGAAAATCTAGAAATATGCAGGAAACCCCATAGAAACAGGCAGTTCCAGGGTCAGACCATCCCTGCAGGCCCAGCCATACTTCTATCACATCATCTGAGATAAGGCAGATCAAACAAAAGACAGACACAGACTAACATTAATGCAATACATATAACACATCAAACTGTTCTATCTGTCCTTTGTAGACTTGTGAAGCCTACAAAACAATATGAAAAGCCTTTAAAGAAAAAGCAATAGCAGATTCTTTACGACTAGTCTAAGTCTGAGAGGAAGGGCAAAGAATTA